CACTCTGCTGCATATTCCTTGTCATTTTACATTTTTTTCTTTCGAATTCTCCGTGCTTGGTTGGTATCCTCGGGGTAGCTACGCCTGATATGAATGTCGACAAGTGCTTACGGGTAGAAAAACCGCTACTTCGAATATTCTGGTTCCAGGCTATGGTTAGTCGTTGCTTGCGCAGTTGGAGTGCACGGTCCTCCTGATCGTGCTGGACTCAAAGAGTGCTTCCATTTAATGGGGACCGGACTACGGCCCAGTCACCACCTTATGTTCGTCTGGTACGTATGCTTCTCAAATTAGCTACACATGAATGCTGCTGCTATGCATGTTTAATGAGTGTTGGCCGGTTCCTTTGATGAACCGTGGCTCACATCTACATTCCTCCAGGTGTTATTCCTTTGAATTTACGCTGTGTATGGAATTGTGGATGGTGCAGCGCAAGCAATCCTTGGTCTCTCTCTGGGCGCAGGATACACTGGTTGACCTGGCAAGGAGTCGACTACAATGGTGTTTGTGTTGTGTGTTTCTTTTTCCGTTCCCATCCCGCTTATCTCCCTCCTCCAACCATGACCTCCCTCTTAACGCACAGTATGTTACTAAGTAGTCTGTCGCCTGCTTATTGCATCCTTTAATTTTAACTATCTTACTTTTTGGATGTCTTATCTTTATTCATTGTAGCACGGTAGTTGTAGTATATTCCTCACCTTTAGCTAATCTACTTATGATGACGACGACGACGGCGATAACAGTGATGATGCTGGCGTCCAATGCTTGTCTTATGGAGGCCGCAGTGACCGGCAGATCCGGAACCGGGTTCCGCCAAACATATAGTTTATTGCTTTGCTTTGGACTTCACCATGATCCTTAAGTAGTGCAGCTGCGCGGGAATCCGGGTCAGCAGCTCGTAAACGCTTGAGGGCTGTGATCGCGTTTCGGGCCTCAGCCAACGATGTGAATACTAATATAACCGTCCATGGCTCACCCTGCAACACCTTAGTAGGAAGAAGTCCTTGAGCAGTAGGCCGACTTAACTACTCTTGAAAGTGCTCCGTCCAGTGGGTCATACGGCATTCCTTCTTGTTAATCACCTTACCCGCGTTGTCTCGTTTCTTGGGACCTGGGGTGCAGATCAGTCGGGAAAACTTGCGATTATTGCTTACGGCTCCCGCCTACTCCATTTCTTGAACCTTAACAGTCCACCAGGCTGCCTTGTCAGCACGCAGTCCCTGCTTTAGTTGTGGCCTAATAGCATGCTTAGTTACATTTTGCTCAGAGCCTGGCGGAAGGTTTCTTCTGGGTTCGAACAGATTCACCCATCTCTCTGATTTTCAGTGACTGGTGTGGTGACGATTGATAGTGCCGCAAGTGGAGGATCCTGCGTTGTACATGGCGGCTGAGATGTTTTCCATTGTATTAGGACAAGAGAGCGGATGTTTGGTATGCATAACATCCTGGTAGACTGGCTTGATCGAGGATTGAGATAATTTCTCAGCAAGAAACGACATCATTAGATAGAGTGTGTGTAAGCGCCATTGTTTTTTCTATTGTTCTTTATCCGATGATAGAGTGTGGTCACTGCTTCGTGGCCTATCCCTAGATTACCCAGTTTGTAAGACGAATTACACCGATAAGGTGCATTTTTATGACCTGTTGCGTCATGCTCATTAGGCATATCGACAAATTATCCCGGAATGTCCCCGTGATAAGCGATGTACTGGCAACGGCAACTCGTTTGTAGGCAAAGTGGCCACATGACCGAAGCAGTAGAAGCGGTTCGAATTCATTCGGCAATTCATTGACTTACTGGAGTAAGTTCCGCTACCAAACGGGCTGCTGCGTTACCTGCTCGATTCCCTCGCTTGTACCAATAACAATACAAAAACTCGATGTTCGAAATTGACCAGTGTCCTTATGTCCTCAACACAACGGTCAGCCCTCTGCTCGGTTAAGTAGCAAATTATGTGGCCCAGCCAACGTCTCCCATCGCTCAGGGGTTTAAGCTACTGGGTAGATGGCATCCGCCTCTAGCGGTCGTGGGTCCGATCCACAGTAGGGACCGAGGGAATGCTCACCACTGACAGGCCTCAATAGGGCGAATCGCGTCTGGTGCTTTTCCGGACTAGGCTGTGCTATGAAGCTTGTGAACTACTGGGATAAAAACCTTAACAAAAGTAGCAATTGGCATCGCAGCGCCATAGACTCAGTAAACCTATGCCTTGCAGTTTCCCTTGGTGATTGTGTTACAGGAAGAATGCTTTCATTCAACGTTCAGGCCGAGAGCAGTGGCGCAACAGTGGATCGATCTACAATTAGAGATCGAACTGCAGTAGAGGTCAAAATACGCATCTATGTGGAATCAACGGCAAGTTAGATCATGGACTTGAACCGTTTGCTTTGTGTTAATTAATATTAATTAGCATCTCCAATTTTGTTGTGTTAGCGGTTTCTTCCAACGTATTTATTGCGCCATGCTCTCATACAATATAATCCCTCGGTCCGGCGATTTTCTTGTCGTTCTCATTTCGTTGCGGGATCGAACTGGTTTTGAGCGGCACAGCAGATTTCAGGCACGTTATGCGTACTGTCAGCGGGAACCACCACAGTTTGATACTTTGAAAACCTCTGCGAACACTTACAATTCTCGCGTTAATCTTCTCGGTGCTGCAACTGCGGGAGATGCGGACATGTGCCATTTCTAATGATTTTTTCACGCCCATGACTCTAGTGACGTATCGACCGAGTCCTGTACCAGCCGCTTACAGTAAGCCGCAAAACAAATATTTAAGCATGAATCTCTGTGAGTCATCCTATTCCGTAGCACGTGTATGTGGCTGATGTCTCCGTTTCGAAGAGAGATATGCCGTCCGCGTGCTCTAGGTTTGATGATCGATCACTCACTAGAGCCTCTACCTTAAAGAAGTGAAACAGTGTAGAATCGAATCATTTATGATCATTTCGATCACAAGGTTTAACGGGACCTGAGAGCTTTAACTACCCTAACGTACTCCACCTGTCTTATTGGACTCAGTCACTTCGACCTTTGGACCTCATTCGAAGCGGAGAGTTTTCTGTGTTACCGTCTCCCATATAGTTTACTTCACGACCGGTGTGGTCCTTGTTCTGGTTCTGCAAGCAGAATTGAAGTGGAACCCAACACGTAGTGCTTAACTAGTGACGCCTTTCCCCTAAGCCTTTGAATTTCGCGAACAACACGGCACAACGGTCAGAAATGCGATGTTCAGGTTTTCAAGTACCGGCTACGCACTTGATCACTACACTCAGTCTCGACGAAGGTACACAATTTGCTTTGAATCATACCTCACCTACTCCGATCACAAATGGACCGCGTTATCACCATTACACGTTCGCGGACGACATTGCTTTCATCAGACGCAGTGGCTATGCAAACACTATTGGATAAACTGACGCGTAGCGCTGCATGCTTCAGCATGTGTTTTACACCTTCAAAGTGCAAAGTACTGCTGCAGGACTAGACCGACATAGCGGTTCTAGCTATCACAGAACAGCCACTGGAAGTGGTGGATCGGTTCACATACCTTGGTGGCTGTGTCATCTCTGGTGGTCATATCACTGAGGAGTTACTTCCCGTATCAGCAAGGCCCGTGTGGCTTTCCAGAGGATTAACCTTCTATGGAGACGGCGGGATATCAGCTTGTCAGTGCAAGGTAGGGTGTATAACGCCGCGGTAAGGCCGGTCTTACTGTATTGATCAGAGGCCTGGCCAGTTCGCGCCGAAGGCACTAAACGCTTAGCGTGTTTGACCACAGGTTCTTGCAGAGTATTGCTCACGTCTAGTGGGAACATCGGGTGAGTAATGCTGAGGTCCGCCAGTTGGTTCTTGGCAAGAAGCCTCCTGGTGCCTCACTCGAGTGTTTGCTACCTCTTAATCGCTTACTTTGGTTAGACCGTCATTCGTATGCCTATTGACTGGCTTCTCCGGTGTGCATTATACTCCGTGGCTGCACCAAGTTGGGCGAAGTTTCGAGGTGGCCAGTCTATGACATGGCATAGTGGGATGAAGAAATTGACTGAGAGACTTGGTCAGACTGGTGCGTGCCGTATTCGTAGATGGGGGCCTCGGGATGGTCCACAACAATGGTTGGAGACACTATTAGACATGGCACAGTCACGAAGTCAGTGACGTTCCTGCATTAGGCTTTTTTCATCTGGTTGTTAATTTCCCTTCCATTCTGATTAGTCTAACGCATTTCCTTCTAGCTTTCATTTCCTCCATATTTTGCACCCAACTCCACCATCCTATGGTTGTTATTTAAATGTTGTTCTTACGGTGTGAGTCGTGGCAACAGGATCCACAACACTTCGGTGCTCGGATCATAGTTTATCAAGAGGAATAGCACTTAAGCTATTGTGCCGCAATACAAGAGCGTATATTAAAAAGAGATACTTATCATTACAGATTGCAAACTAAAAACCGGAAATAAGCAATGTTCTTTTGTGTATCGGGAATGATGTCGTGCTTGCAGGGGTGAGCTAAGCGGGAGGAGAGTGAAAGAAGAAGCTCATTACACGAACACGATCGAGTTCGGCCCTTCGTCATATCGGCAAGTGTATCTAATCGAACGTGTTCATTGTCCTTCGGACCCCAACCAGGCAGTCGGGACACACCAACCGACGCTAATTTCGAAATGAGGGCCTTCATTCCTTTGGACCAGTTTATCGATTGGTTTCCTTTCCTGTTATATCATGCACACCCTGGTCGCCAAATGAAGTACGACACGGGAGTCAGTGTGCTTGCATGAGCAACACCTGGCCCAGCCATCGGATCCTGATGCTTGATCTATGAGTGCTGAGCAGGTCACCGTTCATTAACACTAGGTCAGTGCAATGATCTTGTCTGAACTGATGATTTATATTGTCTGGGAACTCTAAACACTAGAATGTATGTGATCTCGTAGTTATGCATTATGAAGTAATTGTAATGTTTCGTGGTAACCCAATTGCGTTCTCGCTCTTTCACCCTGCAGCATAGTCTCGCGCATAATGATCCGGCGCCCAAATTAATTTCCTTTCTCGATCTACTTCGCTTCGGTCGGGATTTAACCGGCGAATTGTTATCAAAACTGGTGACTAAAGCTCGGCTAAATGAACTTAAGCTCGATGTGAAAAACACCACTGCAATGGAACAAATGGCTTCTAAAATCCAGAGCCTATATCGCCGATGCTTGGAACCCGGCGCCTATGCTTCACACTTGTCCCTTTGGCTAAAGTATCTTCCACCCACACAGGTAAGCATCACAGGTCTTCCATGTTTGGTTTGCATCTTGTCTTTCCTCACGTAAGCGTGTTTGTACGGAATAGGTTTGCTTCATCACACTAGATTCGGTTAAACGATCACCACACGTCTGGAAAAGCACTGGATAACCTTGTCGTGGCTTCCTGAATCGTCGACCTTCTGCCTGACTTTTGTGGGGCTAAATCTTAAATGAGTTCTTAAATACACTGTCCTACAAGAGTCGACGATGATCGATTGCATGTGATATAGCGCGGCTCACTCTCACAACTTGTCTGCACCTATCTACCGTGAGTGCGATAGGATAGCCCCCAAACAACCACTTCTCAAAATTAAGCCACCAATCAATTTGTTGTGTTACCACCAGCCTATGATGTGCACTGGTTTAAAGGAATTAGTTGGGGGTTGGATAGTGTGTCTTGAATTCATTGCAACTCAACTCAGATAGCCATCATTAGCCTTCTATTCCATTTCCCAATTAATTACATTCTTAATGCAATGGCTTTCATCCGTAGTGCACCAGCTTGCATCCTTAGCGCAAAAACTATAATCCGGTAGTCACGAAAATTGCATCCACGACGCCCTCAGTGAGTCAACTGTCCGCTCGTCTCAAATGGACATCTCGTTTATTCACACAAGCCCTCTTTGTGAAACCGTTTTGAATCCATTCACAACGCGCTCGATCAAGCCAGGGGCGTGATCCAGTGTTCCGGATATGTCCACTGCTACGTCTGCGTGCGCCCGGGACTGTGCTGACTACGCCTAACCTTCACATATCAGGATTTGACGTTTTGATCCAGTTTGTGAGTAAGCCCCTGATTCCACCCCCCTATTGTCCCATATTGTTGCACATGTAGACGAGCGGATGGCTTGCGTGAAAAAACATTATTTCCGTTTGAGACGAGCGCACAGCTGACTCACTGTGGCCGTCGTGGATTCAATTTTCGTGACTACCGGATTATGGTTTTTGCGCTAAGAATGCAACAAGCTGATGCACTACGGATGAGAGCCATTGCGTTAAGGATGCAAGCAACTGAGAAATGCTATAGTGATTTGCTCATATTGGTCGCTGCGGTGCGCCGTGAATCATAAGTGTACGGTGACTGGTTCCATCTTCTTGATGGGCAGATAGAATGTGCACTACTGATGGCTCACGGGAGAATTAAATGCTTTCTCGTGCTTTTTCCCGACGGATTGATGACTTTCCCACTGAGTTTGGTTGTGGAGATTTGACTCACACCATCATACCGTCTTTGTAACACCGCAGTAAACTAGCTAGCTCAGTCAACATTCGTAGTATGTAGCGGTATCACATAGGACGATCGTTTTATGTTGGCCATCGGCTGTTTACTCAACCAGCGGCCCTGTGGGCGTGTGACGTCTTTGCAACGCGTTGATAAGTTACCACGCGACATAATGGAATATATCTCGACAGTATCTGATTGGTGCTCCAGCACGCAACACTTCCCTGTGGTGCCATCTGGATGTTCTGGGTTTGCTTCGTTCCATCAAAAAGTTCAGTGGCATTGTTCCAGGAAGTGGTGGATTTTCTCATGGCAAGCCTTCTCTCTATACTGCTGTACACACTGATCAGACCACATAGTTGGACTACACCTCTTATCGCCGAGGAATATACCATTTATTTATTTATAAAGCCACAAAATTTGCATACTAAAACTGTGACGTGACGGTTGTGACTAGCCACTAACTAAGGTCACTGTCCATTGCTTATCCGGATAATAATAGTCAATCCACGAACGTTATTCATCTCTTCTCACACTAGCGACGCTGTCAGCACACATTTAAAGGTGCAGGGGCACTTACAAACCCAAATAACGCGAATCCACACTTGCACCCCTGGTTGGCAGCATCCGGTTCCGGATCTGCCTGTCACTGTGACTTCCAAAGGGACAGCCACAGGACCTCTGCGCTTACAGAGGGACCATAGGTGGCTTGCGCTGCACCACACACCCCATATCCAGTGCAAACCCAAAAGAATAAGACCGGGAGGCATGTGAATGGAAGCCACGTTTCATCAACGGAGCCGGCCCACACCTTCACGGGCAAACACAAGCACGCAGTATTTAAAGAATCAAGCGCACACAAGGCGGTGGTTAGGTCGTAGACCGCTCCACACACAAACCATGTGCATAGGACCACTCTTTGAGCCTAACACGATCACGAGGACAGTGCACCCCGGCGCCTCCAATAACGACCACCTATCTGTTAGAGCCAGTATAGACGACGTGGTGGGCAGTAGACAGGTAGGCACTTTGCCAACATGCGCATCAAGCGCAGCCACACCGAGGATATCAGGAAACCGCCATGGATCCACTGTTACTGGCAAACCGGTGACATTTTTCATGATTTGCCATCGGATTACCTGCCTTGTGTCTGGATTGCGACACAATCTCGATTGAGGCTATAATTTGCTTTGAAACAAACCTATGCCATTTCGATCACTGGGACCGCATCCGAAGTGCAGAGTTTCCGAAGTGCTTTCTCCTCACACTGCATTCCACGACCGACTGGTTTCGTCCGGATTTGGACTCTTCAGGTAGTGATAGCCTGAGCTTAGAGGGGAATCCGACACTGTGATTGACGGCTTTCGTCTTGGTCCCTAAGCCAGAACTCCATGAGCAGCAATTAATTTTTTTGTACATTTCCCGTCCATTTTTTGTCCTTTTACTGTGCTCATGCTTGTGCAAGCGTGCCTCGGGTTGTGGAGAATAAACTATTTATTTATTTATCGCAACGCTATTGAACCTCATTACCGTACGGCGACTTTCCTATCTCCCGATCCACTAGGATATACGAAGTAATTTTTTCGGAAATTTTGAGGACCAATGCTACAGGCTTGTTCAGCTGTTAGAAGTCAAGCACCCTTTACTGGCTCTCAGAATAAAAGTTGTTATTAGGTCTTCCACCAACTCTTTGAAACAACCATGCTGTTTGTCATACTTGTACGGCAGTTATGTTCACGTTTCATCACGGATACACAGTCTTCATTTCGTTGCGTTTGTTTTCACTTACATAGATTCTTCTACTAGACGCCCAGATCTTCAAAACGTCACCCATCGTTTCACTGAGGATTGTTGTAGAATTTCTTGGGCTCCCAAACTACTTCAATTTCTCCGAATATTTACAGTAAGTATACATTACAAATTTGCCTATCATCGGCTTCGTTTCATCATTTATATCTTCGTTTTCCCATAGTCATTACTTTTAATTGTCGTCTAAGTTCTATACCAGACAACAAAACTCGCTCACAGGTGTGTGATGGCATCTCTGAAACCTCCGTTTCTTGAGTAGCCAATGAACAATCAAAAAACAGTCTCCGTGTCCTGCATTCCGGGATTCAGCACTTGTTCTTCCTGTCCGTATACGCCCTCTAATCATCATAGTGCTTCCTCCATTTTTGCATGCATTATTGAGGTTATTATCTTTGTTAGGCGGCCCATCCGCTTTTTCTGCTTCTAATTCACCTGCGTTATCATCTTATCCCAGCTTGTACCATCGGTTGGATTACAGTGCCTCATTTGCCCTGATCTCATTTATTCGGACACTACGGGGCAATTCAAATACACTTTCATTGTCCCCTTGCGTCGCGTAGGTGAACATTACTCACCTCCATCCATGGCGGTAAAGGCACTTCAGAATTCCCTGGGCTGGGCACAGGTACGTAGCAAATGTAATTGTAATGTTTTCGTCCTAGCTGCTCACAAACTACATAGCAAAGCCTGGTCCGGAAGAGCACCAGACGCGTTTCGCCCTATTGGGGCTCGTCTGTGGTGCGCATTCCCTCGGTCCCCTACTGGGGATCGAACCCATGACCGCTAGAGGCAGATGCCAACTAGCCAGCAGCTTAGCCACTGAGCCATGGGGGACGTTGGCTGGGCTACATAATTATTCAAGCAATATAAAATATTCATATCTTCTCTTAGTTTCAAATGTTATGGATATAGCGTCTGGCGAGAGGACCTCATGGCCTTGCGGGCTAGCCGCTGTCAGTGACAGTGTAAGATAGGTCGTGCTATACCCCAGTTAGCTTGCAAATTGTGTAGCCCAGCCGACGTCCCCATGGCTCAGTGGCTAAGCTGCTGGCTAGTTGGCATCTGCTCCTAGCGGTCATGGGTTCGATCCCCAGTAGGGGACCGAGAGAATGTGCACAATTGACGAGCCCCAATGGGGCGGAACGCGTCTGCTACTTTTCCGGACTAGGCTATGCTATGTAGCTTGTGAACAGCTGGGACGAAAACATTACGATTACAATGTAAATGCTCCTCCTACTCATTAGTGACATAACAAATGTGTTTTGCCCGCGAAAGACACGTTCCAACTCAGTGCAACTCATTTGTTCCTGAAGAATATGGCCAAATATTGGTCAATACATACATGCAACATATATATGCCACCGTATTGAGGACCATTATTAACCGATGCAGCATTCAAAACGGACCTCTAGTGTTAATGACGCAAGATTCATCCATCACCTGCCAACTTGCCTCCACACTCTGGAAAGTGACGCCTAACACGTTCTTCAGCAAGTGGATTTATCAGTTAAACTTACCCTCTGCTCAGCGACCTCTTCTACTGGAGTGGAACGAATGATCACATCGTCGCTGCTACCACCAAGTCATACTTCTCAATTTTGACAAGAGCACATGATTCTCTTTCCGTCCGTTACATCAAATTTTCAGTAACTCACATACTTGTTCACGCATAATACCCGGTAAACTTAATGGTGTGATTTGACCAGTCAGATGAGAATTTTACTTCACCCAAATGTCCATAGGAGTCCGAATCCTAGTGATATCCAATGCGACACCCATAATTTTGCACTTATGTCGAACTGCTAGAGCAGACCATCCCTCAGTAATGGTAAAACAACAATACGAGAACACAGCAAGATGGAATCTACTGAGCGCAAAAATGTGAATTGCACCGATGCAGGCCGTTTTAGTTCTAGCCTGATTGATCAACATTGTTTACCTCAGATCAAAATTTGTCTTTTAGTCGATGCGCTTTCTGTCTGTTTTGATTTGACGCTTGGGCATCAGCTGCTTTTGACAATTTTGACCCCAGCTTATTCTGACCTTTGCGGCAGATTCTTGCCTTGATTCCACTCGTCTCAACGCTACGTTGACTTACGTTCTAAGAAACGCATCCCGCTGGCAACCTAGAAGTAAACTTTCACACTGTTGCTACGAAACGTAGCTAAATGACGAAAATTCACTTCATTTTCGCCATCTCTAACCAAACCCTTGGAAATTTGTGTATTGACTGCTCCAAAAGCACTGCACTCCACGACGCGTTTCGATTTGATCTCATCAAGCAGGGATAGCAAGCGTCGAATCCGTGTCCGTCAGGATATTAGTTGTAACTTCTACTCCCTTTGCCACCGAGTCACGCGGGGTAATGTTTGTTGCAACCGCTAATCACTAGTTGGTGGTTCCTTTTGAAGCACTCATTGTGTGCATGTTTTTATCGACGCGCAATCTCAGTGTGGACCACATGAAGTGGACCTTGGTCAATTCGATCACTGGGACTGCAAAATGATTCGCGTTGTGCAGTGTAGCGTTTTCGGGCGCACGACACCCAAATTCCTTCTGCTTCTCATCACTTGCGATCCTAGTGATCGAATCACTATCTACATTGATTGCAAATTGCAATCTCATCACCAACGTGTACTTCAAAATGACCCTCCACTCAGTCGTTACTCGTTGGGCTAATTGTTGCCCGTCGTAATCCGGTGGCTTTGGAGTAGAGGTCCCGAATAATATATCAATGGTCTCAGTTTCGATGCCTGCTATCTCTGTCTGGTGATATCGAACAAGGTCGAAACGCGTCTTGGAGTGCGGTGTTTTCAGATGGACAACACACAATGTTCTTCCATGTCATCAGTTGCGGTCCCAGTGAACGAATTGACCAAGGTTCACCACTATTTGAATCGCGGTCCACGTTGAACCTGGAAATTTGTTGTTATTAATCTGCACAGGCTCGAATGAATATGTTCTTAACCTTAACAGACTTCAGCGCACTTGTTTAATCTAGACGCCCACACACTGTCGTTCTTGTTTGTAGCAGCCAATCCATGTGTGACCCATGCATCGATAATTCTGTATTTAATTGCTAACACTTGTTCTGTCATCCCTCATGGAAATCGAGAATAATCGTTTTTTGTTCCCCTTACACCGACACTCCACAACCGATGGTTTCGTCCTTCTTTTAATTCACTCGGTGGAGATAGCCTAGGCCGGGTTGAAACTCGAGGTCTAGTGACTAACGGCTCACGCCTTGAGATCCGTGAGCAACACTTAGTACAACGGTAAGGAATTCAACGTTGCATTTGGAGAAGCCACACCGAATCGTCTCTGTTTAGGATACGGTCCTTGTGGTCGGGATGATCGAGGACTACCTGAAAGTGAGCCGAGGTCTTAACAGAGATTACGGGTCGCAATCCAACCATACGGCTGGTACTCCAAATGCAATTGTGAGAATAATCCTTATTCATTCGTTCGTCTATCTATTTGTTTATTTACATTTTGCGTTCTTGTTTTCAGGTACGATTCTGAGAAGGGCTTCTTCTGTCTTCGGCCTGGCCGCCGTTATCCTCTTTGGCCTGGCAGCTATGTCCATTTGCGCTCGTGTCTTGGGTCCGGCAAAGGACGTCGCTATCAACCTTTGGACCCGATCACTGAGGTGCCAGCACTGTTGCGCACTCACTTTGAATCCGCGAATATTGACTTGTACAATCTGCTCCGTAGGCAACCTATTTGGCGTCAGTGGCTCGCCAAAGCGGGCTCTGAGTATCCCAGCTGGCTCCTTCAGTCATTAAATCTCAGCAAACCTGTGCCACCTGCTGCCTGAATGGTTCTCTATTCGTGCTCCTTCCTTCCTGTCGTGTGATCTCCACTTTTCTCCGTTGGTCCAATTACTTTCTCCCACTGTTCCACTAACAACAGCTCAGGCTATTTTCGCTTGAGTTTTCTTCATTTTCATTACTGACTCTACGCCATTGCAGCTGCGCATTAGGTATCTTCTCACCTCGCATGCCGACAACCTATTTTGCATATATATCACTTCTGAGATGCGTTTTTCTTGTCTCCTTTTGAAAGTTAAGCATTATCGCGTTGAAATCATTTGGTTGGTGGTAAGAGAATTTGTTACTCTAAACTGCAACTTTGGTACGACGTGCCAGCTGAAGTCCACACATTTAGCGCTTCAAGCCTGTAACAGGCCACATTCCAGCAAGCACATTTCGTGCCATACACCACGCTCAGTGTTACGGTAGGGCTATCTATGTGAACGTGTATCAACATATGGGTATCTTCTGGCCTGCTGGTGTGAAAATTGGCTTATATGAGCCTCAAGGTCGCATTTGAATATCAGCATCCTGATGTGAAAAGCAACAGCAAATCATGCTAGAAGGCAGAATAGGATGTACAATGGCCAATGTCCATTCTGACTTGTGGCCAGTGTTTTATTGTAGACTATAGCATGGGTGTCAGAAAGGGGGACTTTGAAAGCAAGAAGAGCAAATTGCCACATATTATTCAAATACCAGCCATTGGGAGACAATTTTTGTTTCAAATTCGTTAGTTTTTTTCGAAAGCCTCCACATATTCGCTGTTTAACAGTAATTTGAAAGTGACTTGCTTTGGATAGGGCCGCTAGGGTATGCTGTTCCCTCAGTCGTTTCCCCTTGCTATCGGGAATGAAACATGGTTTCTGCGGCACACAGGACCATGTGCTGTTCGAATAAACGTCACTTGGAGAAAGATGCACTGCTTTTGGCCCTGGCTACCGGAAACTTACGGTTGAGTTGTGCTACTCGTAATACGGATATTTCTCGAATATGCAAGGAACAAATCGTTAGTGCAGTTGTGCTCAGGCTCGGGTGAAATATATGTTCAGTAACGTCCGTGTTATCATGACATTCTGCAATACCTTATTTTTCTTAATGTTGAGTTTTGTGCAACAGCTTTTACCTCTGGCTATATATTCGTGAGTCCATCTTGAAGGAAAACATTTGGTGATTCTCCTGACGGAAACTTTTGTAGGGGAATTCACGCTGTGGTTTGTTAAACGGTCCAGAACGGTAGCCAGCTCATTATTCCACTTCTGATTAATTTTCCGAGCTCTCTGACAAGTATGGGTGTACTGAATAGGTCGGTAATTTGGACTTTCTGTTTGGGTCCCCCTTTAGCAAGGGTAATAAACGATATTTTCCGCTGATCTGGAAAATGACTCGATTCTAACGGCATGTTTAACAGAAGCAGTGATATGTCCGGTCCCCCGAATTTAATGCCGGATAGGGAATACCATCCGAATCCAGCTTCGGCGATGGTTTGATGGACTTCATAGCATGCTGTATGTTCAAAAGAGAAATATTTTATAGGACGATTGTTTATCTAGGTTCCGGGCAGGAAGATATGACGTCAGTTTTTTGGTTCATGGAAGCTACGAAAAATGAACTAAATGCTTCACAAATAGAGGATGAGTCAGTTAGATGACGACCATACTCATTGATCAGTCCCGTGATCGAAGGCACCCTATCGTTATTTCTACGACAGTAATTTTGTTAGTTCCTTTCTCTTGCATTTCATCCGTAAAGCCTTCTCCTCCTCCGCTTTAATCCGCATCACTTAATACAGATAGGTGCTCGATTCGTGCAAGAGTAATATTTATGCATTCTTGAAACTTCTGAATTGGTTTTCTCCTTTTCAGGCTAATCGAAGTCTTAGGACCAGGAACGGCACATTTATCATGTGGACAACTAAGGCCATGATACGATGCATCTGGTAGTAAAACTGTTTCCCTGCTATGCAAACGTTAGTGGAAAACCGGATTAGCGCTTGGAAATGCTCCCAGTCAATCCCTCTTATGGCTGAATCGAGTTTGGTATACGTTTCCATGTAGTAGGTAAGCAGTAGCATCTTGTAGACACTACCAGGGAAGTTATCTACGATGTCAGTTTTCTGCTTCGGAGACCCCCGGCGGCAATACTAATTCTACTTGGTTGGCCGATCTACTTGGTCTGGAGACTCACTGAGTCTAGCCCACAACTTTGACAATAAATCTCTGTGCAACCACGATGATTTTTGTGGTGACCAAGTGATTCTTGGTAATGTGGAGTCACCCGCGATTATCTTTACTCCGTGTGGTAACACCGAGGCGAAATCAAACGCCAAGGATATACTAGCGAAATCTTTGGCTGTAGCTTTCAGAAGGGGTTGTATATGCAACCGAGAATTGTCGTAGTAGAGGATGCAACAATTGATACCCACAGGGATTGGAGACATTGTTTGACTTTGAGTCGTCAAGATGCTCTACCATAAAGTTTCCATGGGGTTATACGATACATCCGCCTCTTTTCTTTGTATTGCGCTTTTTTCAAAAGGTGTTATTTAGGAAAATTTAAAGTAGTATGCAACGTATGAGCAGGGCACTGTGTTTCGGTGACGAACATTACGTGTGCGGGGCTCAACTGAGTAGACATGCTTAGAAAATGCAACTTTTTGTGGTTCTTGTATTAATTAGGTTACGTGAAAATGTGTTGTGCGAAGAAGCGTTTTCCATGAGCACTTTAGAGAATTCTGAACCAAGAAGGACAGGTGCATACATTACATAATGGGTTGATGGAAACGAGTCCATTAATGGCTTGCTCGGGTGTAAAGACCTTGTGTACGCTAGTAAGTTTGGGTAGACGGAAAGTATTAAAGTCCCGAGGTCAGGTTGAGATTTACCTGGGATTGAGCTAATCGCATCATCTGGCAGAACTACTGGAAGAGTGGAACAAGTGTGTCCGTGGGGGGAAAAATACCGAACCATTCCAGTCTCCGTTAAAAATTTGGTTATCTTAGTGGTGACTTGTGGGGGACTGCTTGGCTGTGTTGTATGATAGCTAATGTTATCGGGTTTTCGCTGTTTTTTTGTTTTTTATTTCTCTGTCTGAGGTTACATAATACTGGAAGTTGGCAGGCGTAGCCATATGACGCTGGTCTGGGGTTTGAATAGGCTCGGAGTATTGCGTTGCGCTGCGATGGCGAGGTAGTTGATGACACTCAGCTTTGAACGCTGTTAGCTTATCCTGTTTATTTCGTGCAAGTGCTAGCCGTCGAGTTCTTAACTCAGACACCACGCGATAGTTTTGTGACTACAATGTTTGCTCGTAAATCTGGAAAGCACTTCGGCTTTTCTATCTGTTTTCTGGTACCTTTATCTGGTTATCATCGATCAGCTGTTCACTCTCTTTAAAATCTCTGTAGTTGTTAACTCGATCGCTAAGACCGCCTATTCCGTTGGGCTTTTCTACAGTAGGTATTGAGTTATAACTTGGAATAGAGTTATCGCTTGTCACCATTCCTAAATACGAGTTGTCGAGGTCCACATTGATAGTTGTGGTTGACCCGTTTATAATGTGTTTTGATTTTCCGATCTTTTCGCTAACACTTTGAAGAGGGATCGTTGCAGTGGTGTGTGATCCGGTTTAATCAGCATACTATTGAACTGGATGTGCTCAATAATGTGTTGGTTGTGCAAGAGGCGATCTACCGATTCTTCATTTGAAGATATAATTATGATCGAGCAGCAGTCTG